AGTATTCTATAGTACACAAAAAAAAAAAAAAAAGAAAAATTGGTAGTTTACTACTATTATTATCGTTGGTGCACACAGAGTCTGTACACTGTGATCACAACTGTGCACGAACTGTGCATTGAGGATCACTTGTTCTAGAAGAAATTGGCTTCTCCGCTAACTGCTACAGTAAATAGATCGATATAAGCTCTTCTGAAAAGCACCAAAGGAGCTATTGCTACGTGTATTCTATTGTAGTACACTGTAATAGTACCAACGATTCTGTTTAAAAAGATAGAACAAGATATACAAATAAAGGGGATGCTATACATGTACAGTACGCGTGTGTCTGACTGATACCTAGTGAGGTAGAAGTGAGGAAAAAATCACTAAATCCTTCAGCAATCTATAGTCCACCTTGTCTTTGACCTCCCATTTTCATTACATTGTACTCTTTTGCTACCTAATGTTATTATCTAAGTTGATCCTTTAGAACGACAATGGTTGACAAATGACCTTTGTGTCATCCTGTAGTCGTGGCGGAAAAGGAACAAATTATTACTCAGTGCTACCGCTTCTTGCTGTTACGAATAATGTTTCTGTATGGGGAGCCTATACGGCGCGCCAAATATAGTCACACACTTAGCATCATGCAACATTAACGCGTTACCAGATCACAGATACGTAGCTAATCTTGTTTATGGAATTGTGGTTAATAATTCTGTTATTCGCGAATTACCAAGAATATTTATACTCGACTAAAGATATCTTCACTAGTAAAACTTCTTGTTATCAGTTTTTTGGTTGAACCCAACCGGAAGGTGTAACAATAGACAACGCTCCTCCATAACGATCAGATAAGTTCTTCCAGAAAGTATTACTGTTGGAAAATTCCGGGAAGGCGTTCGCGTTGATAACACTTGATCAGAAACGATAATAAAATCGGAAGAGCTTTCATTTTTTTGGAACCAGTTATGTCTGACTAGCTTTTGTTTTGTCTTTATGACGCATCGGCTTATTCGATCTCTCCGAATGTTGTTCTTGGTTACAAGTCGTCAGGGAGAAATGTTCGAGAACGACGTTTGATTCATATCCGCATTTCCGAGAGGACTGATCGCCATTAGAAATGTACCGTTTATAAACCCTTCCAGCGACACTACGTTCAACCAAAGTCTTGTGACGTTGATAGGTTAGGTTAAGATTGTTAACTACTAGCTTGTTGTGTTTAAATGAACAGGAAAACCATCACACTAATTTTCAGTATTAAATATGTATTCAAGTGAAGTGCGAACGTTCTAATAGTGCAAAAGATTAACACGTAAATAAAGAAGACAATCATCCTAATGATGGCTTGCCTAAAATTATGGCAATCTTCCAAAGTTCACCTAATCAAAAAACAACTTCCAATAAGCTTAAGCTGGAAAAGCTCGAAATCAAGTTGGCAGCATAGTAAAGAAAGGGACATCTCCAAAATTTCTGATTCGAAACGAAACGGTATTATCTATTCCCAGTAAAGAGACTACAAACAACAATGGGACGCCTCACAGTTCCCTATAGAAAGACGCGTTTGGATGCTGGCGGCTACCAGGTCGAATTTGTCACGTACCTCACGGCTTCCTTGGTGATCAAGTCTAAAAAGACTTCACAGCCGGCGGAGGTTATGAGGTACGTTTACAAGAACACGACTACGCATTGTCCCCCAGCTCAACGGTAATAATTAATTCAATTTGGGCTCTGCAGTGTAATAGGCTAAATAAGGCGAAGTTAACGGCCCACTTTCTGTGTACAAAAGACACAACCTGAGATAATATCTCAAAATCTATATATGAAAACAAGTGAAAAGTTCTACCCTTACCATTATAACAGTAAATATCTAAATACTTTCACGAGTGATCTCAAGTGTAAGCACCGAGTCCAGAGTTTGGATATTTGTAAATTGTCATGTGATGATTGTAGGTTATTTGTTATTAAACAAGTAATAGATGCCTAGTATTTTTAGTTATTCCTTTACTTGTTTATCTTATCTACTTCTTGTGCAGCATATCATATAGAAGCTACATACAGATCGAAACCTAATCAATAACTAGTCACCTGTCAAGCAAAACAGGCTCAACTAAGTGGAAGGTTACAGCTATGCCTACTATCGTATAAAGGACAGGTGGCGAAGTGACCGATCTTTTTAGCGGCAGAAATACGAACAATCGGTATCCTTCTTCCGAAAGGCCGCTGCCGCAGTAGCTATGAGCATACGACCATCGCTGAATAAGTGTGCCATTCGGAAAATTTCACCCGGCTCACACGGTAAAAAATATCGGGAAACGTCATGTAGAATAGTTACAACATGCCTGCCAGCGAATATATATATATATATATATATAATGTTATAACATATATATGTGTTAACATATATAATATGTTTATTGTCACACAACTGGCCATAGAACTTATAACTTTGTCGCGTTTGTGTGCCGGTGCTCGTAGCGGTCGCTGCTGGAACGAACTAGCCGACTTGTTCGCTGTGCTTTATATAGCCATCAGCGACTTCTATCGTCAGTTAGCCAGTGGCATGATCAGTCCCGTTCAATTGTTGACTGATCCCCAACGTAGAGAAACTCTCAGAGCAGACGATATAGTTAATTACAATTATACACAAATATTAAAATTTACTCACTTTAAATACCAAGATATAACACAAAGAGGGAGCCCAGTAAAGCATACGTTTTGTATCATTATAATCCGCTTTTTTTCACCTGATTGGGCTAATTCAAACGACAATAGTAGCCTTCGTAGCTAGAGATCAGGGGGTGTATGGTTACATAAAGGACGCACCTCTCCGGGGTCGCCTACAGTTGAGCGGCCACCACAATGCATACAGAGTTACAAGACAAGTCTTGAAGACGAAATAAATGGGGGCATCGTTCTGTGGTGGGCGGTGTCCTTCGAGAACTGGTTTTGGCTGGCCTTGTTACTTAATCGTGAAGCAATGCTTTGGATTATGGCAAAATCACGCTTAATCTAGCTACCAATCAAGGAGTAAACAGATCCTTTGCAATGATTCGTAGTCTACGTTCGTCGACCTGGAAAGTATTTGATCGCTTGGCGAGCACTGCGTCGGTAGTCACAGCTAAATGTGGAGTCTACCTCGAACTAGAAAAAGATATTCAAACTTTACTGAATGCTGCAATGCTTGAGAAGCTCTCTAAATCACTCATAAACCAGATGTGCGTAAAAACGAATGCACAAATCAAATGCTGGCACCGTTCATCTAAGAGAGTTGCGGAGCTTACTTAACGCAGTTCCTTATAGAGCAAGTAATGCGGGCTGGGCGCACCATGGCCTTCCGTCCACAAAAGGCTGTATCAAATATCCTTGATGGCTCTTTTCGGCGGATCGTGATTCGGTTTTCACTAGTTTTCGCGTCCATAGCGACTTTGAGCTTAGCTTAACCAGAAGCTGTCTGCTGTAAGTTGTGCCTCGAAACTGGCTGTCGATGGTGCTTGAATTATAAATGCTACTTTTAAACTAGGCTCTGAAAAAGGCAACTTTTCTCACCGAGACGGTCAGTAAGTTTGACCGTTTTTTTTTTTTTCTTAAAAAAAAGGCCACAATACTTGCTATTGCGTTATGAATAAGGTAGCACGAATTACACGAAAATAGAACCCTGCATGTGGAGAAGGTCGTGCAGTTATTGGATCTATATAGGCCTAATAGTGCACCTTGAGCATTGCGATGACATCGCTTTACCAATGGTGACCCTGCATAAAGACGCTCTTATGACAAAGCTGGTGCAAGGAGCTGCGTGCTGCGAAATCAACTTCGCGAAGCGTGCCGAAACGGCTCCGCCAAGTTTCCAGTTAAGCGTTCGGCCACCCGGACACTTTATTAATGAAATCCTCAGTAAGTTCAGAGTAATCCCATGTAGGGTTTACTTTCAGCTACCTACCACCTATAGCTAGCCGCGCGTTAATGCGCATACACGTCAATAAAGGAATGCTGCATATTTTTTTTCAAAGATCACAATGGATTCAGTGTTACGACATCATATTCTATACCATCTTTTCTACTTTCGGTTGAGTTCTACTTTCGGCCCATATGAAGGATGTATGTTTTGCTCTGGCGATGCAGGTAAAAGGATGACTTACACCAACGAAACTTTCAAATAAATCAGGAGCTTGCAAATGTTAGGCTCCCTAAATCGAAAATAGACCCCATAAATATTGTAGCCAAGCTTAGCAACAGCGAGGCAACGCTACTTACCTGACCAAAATTAGGATTTGGTTGTAACCGCTATACTCTGAAAGGCCATTTAGCACGTTGCTTGTTCAAACCCTCATATGATGACCGCAATGTTTTATTGTCCGCGCGATAGAAATGTCTAGCCAATTGTTTTGTCCAGGAACGTTAGTTGGACTATTGTATATTTAGTAGAACTATCCATTTTCTGCTAACCCTATATATGCAGATGCTAGTTAACGTGCGCGGAATGGTGATTCAGCTAGTGCATTGTATGGCTTTTCTGGGATCCTTTTTTGTGGATTCAAACGTAATCAACAACGCTCGACCGAGACGTGCGCATACTCTGTTTTCGATCAGACATATACACGTTTATTAGTAGCACCAAACGTTTTCTTTTCTGACCTATTAACTATAGTTTTCCTACGAATTTAGCAATGAATATATAAACGTAACACGTATATTTCAAGTTTTATGGCTACACAATATAAACATACAAATTCCATCGAGTTCTTTGGTTTCAAGCCTTACAGGGTTCTAAATAATGGAAAGTTTCTTTCTTTTTGTTTCTGATAGTACACAAGCCACAGCACTAGCGGCGCTGCTAGTCACCTCACTTCTGTCAGCTGTTCCTGCAAAAGGCAAATCCCAGTCCGCAGTTCCCGCAGACTACGTACGCACGTTAAGTTGCTATATCTCATTCTTACCACCGTACTAATAGCTGAGTTTGCATTTTCTGTAAATAGTATTTTCTTTACCGTATCACCCTTGTTATGCTGCAGAATTACAGCCATGCACGGCTCCCACTTTACACCGCCCGCCTTCAGAGCCCAAACACGACCAAGCACAGATCACTTTATCATCTCCTCGAATGTAAATACGGTCATTTATTGATTCGACGGGAGCGTGTCGTTGTTATTATGTTCGGTAGTCGTTCTATGTGGATTATGCTGTTTGCCGGAGGCAATGCCTACAGAGACAAGCCGATGATACTAAGAGCCTTTTGTGCTTTGTCTTATTGACACGACAGTCAGTGTCATTGGCGGCTGACGATCATACAGTAACCACCTGCTATGTGTGCAGCAGCTGTTGAAACACGCAGCACAAACCACCTGTCGAAGCAATGTGCACAACAACTGTTCCTTCCTTTCAGCAATTTTCTTTGCTTGCTCCATTCTACACTATTAACATGCCAATGAGTAAGCGGTGACGTGACGTTCTTTCTCTTACGAAACTATAAAAAGAGCGATGTGCTTTACCAAATGAAGAGGCGTGCCAGTAGCAGTAGCTGCGTGATACCGATTGATTTTTAACATTATCTAAGCTTATTTGTACATTAAATGCTTTCAATTTGCTGTGATGTCAGAGGAGTCGAGTCCTTCATTAATGGTGAGTGACCATCCGTAAATGCCGTAATCCGTATATAGAAATGTTCTTAAGACGGACATTAAAGGTCGAGTTTATTTAATCTATGTAATAATTTTCGTCATATAAGCGATTAATTAATCGTCACTTTCGTATAGCACCGTCACGTGCGGGTCGAGCGTGTCAGCTGTTAGAAACAGAAGAGGCGGGTTAATCCTGAGATGGTTGGGTAGCCGGGATCACCAACTCCGTACCTAATTCAAATGCAAACATCATAGACCGTATTGGTTTTTGAAATACGTGTGAATTAGCCTGCGCAAGCGGGACTTTTTTCCCGAATTTATGTTATTTTAGCTGTTCCGTTACCGATTACAATTACGACACGAGTGTACAGGTGTACTTTCGAAAGGAGATACATTGCAGACTGAGCTGCGCCGCAGGCGGTTAGACCTTTTTTAGAATGTACATATGATCGCATTTGGCATGAAAGGATCCTTAATCTTTTAAGGTATAGCACCATTCCTGTTTAAGCTGGCCTCTCGTTCTACTGGTCGCGTCTGTCCCCGAAAAGTGTTTTACGGATTAAGAGGTTACTCAGTTACTGAAGTGAGCATATGCGGCTTGTCTGATTTAATTACTTAAGGGCAACGTTTAGACCATCTCGAATAGCTTTTTTGCACTGCAAATTTACTAATTTTCACCGATACTCGGTATTATTCAGAATACGTCAAAATAGTTTACCCTGCCACGCAGCTAGAGTTAAAGTTAGCCAACTGTTACGTCCGATCTAACGTTAAACGGCCAGACAGCCAGTTTTACCGTGGCATTGTATTTAGTCCCAGCAAACAATTCCAAGTCGAGTGAAACGATTCATTAGTGAAGCAAATATAACAAATAAATGCGATAGCTTGCAGTAGCAGTAACATCAGCGATGGACTCAGCACTGACTTCTACTTAATTGGCAGGTCATAGGGGCTACCCCATTGTCTCCAGAAAGCGATGAACTCCGTTAACTGCGCGCGTCGTCGATGCATCGACTCTGTTGAGCGCAAATTCAAGTAATAAACTGGCCCTATCCGGCATACCTGTATATACGGCATTGTTTTACAATACAGACTGCCCAGTGTGGCGGTATACAGGTGCGCGGATTCACTTGAGTCACAGAAATAACAGCAGCAAAAACACACAAAAATCCGTGAACACACGAATTCACCTTTGCAATAGTAATACTGAGACATTTTTTTGACCCTGTACAAGGGGTTGACATTAGGAATGGATACGGCGGGATTAGAACAGTCTGGGATTGCCCAGCAAACCTTCGACATGCGTCTGGAGAATAAACGCGTCGTCACCGAACTGTCTCGGGCGAAAGTTAGTAGGAGCTATGTGTTAGCTTTACGATGCGATTTTTCGATAATTTTCCGTTGGTATTAATGGCACGTGTACACTGCCAACCTTCCTTCTGCTTCTGGAGCCATCATATTAATGCATATTGGGTGCCGCTGATGCTGGTATGCTGGGATTAGCCAACATCATGCGCGTGTGATGGAGACGGGACTAGGCTAAAAAAACGGGAGTAATATGAGCGGAAAAGCTCAGTCGAGGTACCAATATGTAATGGTTGTAGTGCAACAGCCACATACAACCTGACGACTATCCCGTTTCCATCCTGGTTTTAGTAAATCTAATTGATGAATATAGCTAGTGCAACGCAATGGTTGTCGGGGCTGGCCACAGTTTAGTCTAGTCATAATACAACATTTTGAACACAAAAAAAGGCCTAAACTAGTGTTGCTCATAGTTCATGCGAAAATTACAGAGTCTTGACACTTGTTGTGTCGATACTATCTATGGGTGCTCGTGCGTGGTGCACGGCGGCACGCGTGCTTGTAGCGGGAAATGTACTTAATAGAACGATATGCATTATCCGGGGTACGTTAAAATCATCATGGGTAATAGAATAGACAGTGGTTGAACTAACTTGATCGATATAACAACTGCCCCCAGGTGTTTTTTGCAGCAAGTCGAGTAAACTCCTTAAAAACCCCAGCTTAACTACTGCACAGCGTGATCTACCCATCTTATCATTTCTAATACAATGCAAAGCTTCGGTTTATTCACAGAACTGTTTTTAAACGTAATGTTATGATAAAAAGACATGAAACAAATGTATGCTATATATATATATATATATAGGATCGATTAAGAACTTACAAAACATGACACTGCCAATGTATAGCAGTTAGCACAAACGAATCCAGCGGCCTTTCAAATATAATACCTTTTGAACTATGAAGATTGTAGGAACTACCATCATCTTATTCCGAATCTACATGGCGCTGCCACCGAACTCGACTTCTCTCTAGAGCGACGCCATTCTTTCATCTGGTCTGTCTTCGATTGTCTGTAAAGATTGACATTATGTTTCGTCTATGATGACCGTACCCTTCAAGCTGGTTTTTTCTTATTGGATTTCCGCAAGTTGCACGTGGAATACACTGCATGTATTTCCAACTAGCCTAAAATTAATTCACGGAGTACCCATTTTTTACTCAGTTCCCGCCTTTTCAGCAATTGAAAAAGTATCTATCACTTTATCGCTCACCTTTGGCTTAGAACACAGGTCCTGGACCAAGAAAATCAGCCCTATACTTGTTGTTCCATATAGTAACATCCTAGTGTATGGGATCGTGTAGATTTCCATTCCATTTTGTTACGCATTTTTTATGCGGAAACGCGTGGAAAATTTCGCATGAAATATTTTTATCACTAAATATAATCCGCATCGTAATTAGTGTCATCGTGGGCTCTCGTACGTAATTTTTTTAGTTTCTTTTATAGTTGAATGTAATTTCATACAATATGCAATATTACTTATCGTAAGGTGATACTTATCTGTGATTGTGAATCCTTTAAAATCCGTGCCACAATAAACTTTTATTTTGTTCGACCGTTTTATATCGAACATTGAATGCGAACAGGGACGAGCAGTCATGGAATAGATGTTACTTTAGCATTCGTTATATGATTGTTATACTCTAGTACAGAAACGCTTATGTAATCACTGCATATTCTAGGAACTGTTGTTTTTGAACGAATTCTACCTACGTATACATATATGCTCATTTATTAACTATTATAAACACAATGAGACCTCTCTGTTAGTGAGTTCATTACTGGAGGCGCTTTTCTGCCCTGCATGTCGCATATTTTTTCAGCTTCTACTTGTTGATGTCACGACTGTTCCAAGTTATGTGCGCAGAAACATACGCAATTCTTATATATTTTCTTAAATCTATCAGTTCAGCTAGACAAGCGTCCTTGGCAGACTTTTCATCCCATTATAACTTAGTCAAACATCGTTGATCACTTGACCGATCGTTTTATTTAGACTTGCTAGGTATTTGATTTTTTGTTACAACAATGACAAACCCATTGATTCGACAAACAAATCGATACGAATAAACCTTATACCGCCTATAATCTTCGTCGATTACGGTTTAAATGGTAATGGTTGATGCCCGTCCGCTTATCTTGTCGATGCCACATCAGCTGTATGTAGTCTTTACAAATATATGCATTGGGAATTATGCAGATTTTGAGATTAATATTCGTAATAATTTTGAATAAGTCTATTTTCTTTGTCTATGTTTGATACTTCCGGCCTTCTATGACTCTTAACTTATCTGTTTAATTACATCAAAATATGCTAATCCGCAAATCTGGCGACCATCACTAATGTAACTACGCAGATAGAATATTATTGAAACAAAGCGTTTAGTTGACTTAAAAATTTTATATGGCGTCAACCCTACAAGCCCATATGCAATTACGCTTTCGTGCCGTAAACATTTCATTCCATATCCACAATATATATATACTTTGGTGATTATATGCACCATATATATATACATATAAGGTGCATATATGCCACACAAAATTTGCAAGAGTCAGTAAGTATACGACATGCATCACACGAGAGATAATAAAGATATCTATATATTCAGTAATATTCTGCGGTAAACAACATTACCTCTATCGCATTATAGGGTAGCATGGGAAAGTTGATAACAGAATGTATTTGATGTGATGAAGGCTTTATTCGGTCGACAATACATTGGCCAGCCAATTGACAGCCTCTCGAATCAACGGCATACAAGCGGCTCAGATGACCAATCATGATGTACTCATCAGTCTGAACTGGTTTCCCAGCTGTGATATGGTTCGTCTGTCGCGTAAGACTTCGCTTATCAATACTGTACCGCTTACATTGTGTAATGCATATCGAAGATACTGGTGGAATAGTGAAACCTTACTTGAAAGCCTTGGTATGACGTCATTTACCACAGAAAGACGTAGATAATCATGCAGGTGATAATGTATGTTTGAGAAACGGAGGTCTCTAAAAACGTTGAATTGGACAGTTCGAGCAGTGTTTATTTCAACTAATTGATCAAAGCTTATTATACTTGCTAAGAAGCATAATAGGAAAGATTAGCCAGCAGAAAAACTTCCTTGCGTCTAGCCAAAGGCTAAATGCAGATGAAGTAAAATGCTGGTCGTCACTGTTGATCTCATCGCTACGCTTTTTGGTCAGCCTCGGCTCATCGGAAAATTATTGCGAGTTAAACAACTTTTTACATGCTTGTACGTTTGCTCCAACTTCCAATCACCTCACTGGTTCATTGAAGGATTACAACGTATTTAGATGATACGAGCGAGAATTAGTAAATGGAAGCGGCATAGAAGTGATCCGAGAAATATATGACTGTAAAGATAGCGAAAGTTTTGCTATTGCTATGCAGTTCTCTTGCCAATAAGGTATTGAGAAGACAGGTAGTTTTACTGAATATGAAATTTATTCAAACGCACAATACCTATAACTAACCATTAAGTGATGCTGCTGTTAAAATCTTTTTCATCAATCGTGAATGCGTTTCGTCCAGTATCGATAAAACGACCAGATCCTTGGCAAAACTTAATTTTTCAATTTCAGCCTGCCCAGACATCTTGCCCTAATCTAA